GACCGGGGGCCAAGTCCCACTAGCAGCGTTGAGCTACCTCAACGCCTGAATCTGGACGTGTTTGTGGAGACGTGCAGTTCAGGAAACTCAACACCTGTCTCTTATACACATCTAGATGTGTATAAGAGACAGAATTTTGTAAGAGCCGCGGGGCCTGGTTCCCGGCTTTTATAAAGACATTGTTCGGTGAAAGAAAAAAAAAAAAAAGCTGAGAAATGGTATGTGCAAATGCCCTCTTTTACCCAAGACCCTAGCTCAGTGGGTACACCCATGAACTGTTGAGATGTATACAGACGCGTGATCGAATCCAGATGATGGTATGGTACATGATGCGTAAAACCAAATATTTCAAAAAAAAAAAGAAAAAAAAAAAAGAAAAAAAGTGTGTGAAACAAACTGGAGAAAGAGAGTAAAAATGCAATTTTAAGGAACAAGTTGGCTTCTTGTTGGTTTCGAATCTTTTATCTATCTATCAAACTTGATAATCAAAGCTTATTGTTGGTTTACGAGATAATCTCTTGGCAATCAGAAGTGATTTGTATGCAGTAATTTTACCTGTATCTAGACTGAAAGTTGATCCAAATACAACTTTAATGACCGGGCATTCTGTTCGGGCGAAAGATGGTAGGCTAACGGACTTCTCCTTACAGATTCTGTTTTTTTTCACGGATGTTTTGGTGTGTCACTCACATTGGCATTTTTCTCGTGGTCTCTGTTTATGGACTGGGCTTGCATGGGCGATTGGTGGTGCAAGCAGACGGTTCAAATCCTCATCGACGACACATATAACTCTGGGACGAGTTACAGCTTCAGCAACTTCACTAATCTGTATAAACTCCCTGAAAACGTTTCGTTCCCTTTCATGAGTACTGGAGATGTCTGGCGGAGCGACAAGCGCATTAATGGTTACAATTACTTTACAGGCAAGTACTCCCTCACATTTGCTACCGGAACACCCCATTCATTCATTGATCACTTAGAGAGAGAGAGAGAGAGAGAGAGAG